CCCTTCCAACCCAAACCAGTCTGGGATTTTGTGATCTCTGAATCCTCAACCCCAAGAGGTGCTGCCCCTGGGTCAGCAGATCCTGTTAGTCCTGATACTCCTCAAATTCCTTGTTCCCACTGGCATTTCCAGCATGGCTGTAACTCTGCCTCCCCTCCTTGTGCAAGCAGAACCCCTGGCATTGCTCGTGGCCCTCCCAAGTGCCCAGATGTCACAAGGCAGATGTGGTTTAAATGCTGGGCACCTCTCCCAGAGGCACAACCCCGATGACTTCCAAGAGCCCCGGGATGAACTCGCCAGGGCGGAATTAAAAACAAGGGGGAATTTAAACCAGATCAAAAACAAGGAGAAAGATTTGCTGACTGTTGCTGAGATGTTTAGGGTGGGGAATATGGGACTGGGGTTAAAATCTGGGTTAATCAGCCTTCCCTGAGTTCACTGAGATCCTCCTCCTGCACGGCGTGGGCTCTCACACCGACCTTCACCGGAGGGAGAATCCCAGTTTACAGGGGGGTAAATATTCCTCAAAGGGCCCACTAAACCCCGAGGAGTGTGTGAGACGCCCTTTTTTCGTGCCTTTCTGCCCAGGAAACCTGGTACTGGCACGGGGACGTGAGCGCCGACAGCGTGGTCATGAGCGGGGTCAAGTGCTCGGGGACGGAGATGTCGCTGGCCCACTGCCGGCACGACGGAGCCCACGTGTCCTGCCCCAGGGGAGGGGGCAGGTTTGGAGCTGGGGTGTCCTGCTCAGAGAGTGAGTAACTCAGGGTTTATTGCACCTGGCCACCGGTGCCTGCCCCGAGATTCCCAGAGGGAACGGGGCGACCTGTGTTGTACCTGGGATGTGGCAAAATAGGGGTGAATTCTTATGCCCGGAGGAGTTGTGGCTGCTCCATCCACTGGAAGTGTCCAAGGCCAGGTTGGAGCAACCTGGAATGGTTGAAGGTGTCCCTTCCCATGGCAGGGAAGTGGGAATGAGATGAGCTTTAAGGTCAGCTGTT